AGAGAGAGAGAAAGAAACTTTTTTATTTTTTATTTATTTTTTATCTTTGAGAGAGAATCTCAAGCAGACTCCGTGCTTAGGTTGGAGCTTGATAGGGGGCTCAATCCCATGACCCTGGGATCATAACCTGAGCCAAAATCAGGAGTCAGATGCTCAACCAGAGCTACCCAGGTGCTCCTTAAGCACTTATTTTGAAAACGAGCAAATGCGGGGATGCCTGGGTGGCTCAATGGGTTAAGCCTCCGATTTTTGATCTTGGCTCAGGTCATGATCTCATGGTTCATGGGTTCAGGCCCTGCACTAGGCTCTGTGCTAGCAGCACAGAGCCTGCTTAGGATTCTTTCTCTCTCTCTCTCTCCCTCTCTTTCTGCCCCTCCCCTGCTCATGCTCTCTCTCAAAATAAATAAGTAAACATTACAAAAAATAAAAATAAGTAAAAGTGAGCAAATGCAGACATATCAGGGTGCAGGATGGTTCCCCAGTTGGGTTCTTGCTTTGACAGTGATTCTTGACCTTGGCACCAGCATGCCAAAGACACTACTAAACTGGTCAGCCGCGGCATGTGTTGTGCAATTCACTGCCCAATGGGGCCAAAACCGTGAACCCAACAGCGCTCAGTGAAGCCATGCATTTGCCTGTGGGCGAGCGGGAGCATGGGCCACAAGCCCACAGCCACGGGGAAGGCTCACCACCGCTAATTGTCTGGCAGCATTCCAAGATAGCCATAACAGGGCTATGAGAGGTAACATGCTACATGTCATGGTATGCTGTGGCACCATTCACTTTGGGCTGATTGGAGTTGGGTGGAGTGGGGTTTCCAACACAAATGGAAGACCTGGGCCAGAGAAAGTGATGTTTTCCAGATGCATTTTATGGTTGGTATGGCTGAGCCAGGCCGTGTGCTCGCTGATGCCAAAGGGGCACCACATTCCCGGCACCAACGGCCTTAGTCTTGCACAGGCCCTCCAGGCTCCACCCGGTGCTCCCTGAGCTCAAGCATGCAGCGTGGGGGAGTTTTACACCTGGTGGCAATCCCCCAGAAAGGAGATGGGGACGGTCACCCGTGAAAGAAAGTCGTATGGGCTGTGCTGGTTGTCTCGGCGCAGCAGCGGGCCAGCCTTCCACATGGCGTGGCGTGGGACTCCCATGGCCGCCAGCAACAACACCGGGCAGAGCAATCAGGATTCCCATGTTTTATCGCTGCGTTAGTTCTCTGGGGCTGCCATGACAAAATACCACAGACTGGGTGGCTTAGACGGTAAAAATTTATGTTCTCCCAGTCCTAGGAGCTAGAAATCCAAGATCAAAGTGCTGGCAGAGTTGGTTGCTCCCGAGTCCTCTCTCCTTGGCTTGCAGATGGCCGCCTTCTCTCTGTGTCCTCGTGTGGCCTCTGCGTCTGCATCCCCGGTGCCTCTTCCTCTTCGTATAAGGACACCAGTCATATTGGACGAGGGCCCACCCTGATGACCTCATTTATTCTTCATTACCTCTTGAAACACACTCTCTCCAGATGCAGCCATATTAGGGGTTAGGGCTTTAGCACGTGAGTTTTACAGGGGGACACAGTTCACAACACTCACTCCCTGGCTGATCCCTTATTTAATTTCTTTGACGCTTGAGTTTTCTCCTCTGAAAATAAGGGGGTGAGAGAGAGGATTTCCCTAGCTTCCCTTCCAACCCAGTGCATGAGGAAATTGACTTGTCTATTGAATGGCTAATAAAAAGCCACAAACTTGGAGCCCGGTAGCTTTGGTCATCCAACCACCGCAAAGCCTCATTCCCCTCCCTGCCGGGAGGGAGGAGCCAAGCTGAGGAGGCTGTGGGAGTGGCAGTGAGGTCACCAGGCGACCACCCTTGCTGACCTCCAATTCACCTCTGACCACCCTGTTGGGGGGGGCGGTGCAGGAAGGGGGGTTTGGCTGGCCTAGCCTGGTGGCAGGACCAAACCCATGTATGGAATGTGAGTTGGAAAGTGCCCGCGCTGCCTTTCATGCTAACATCTGGGCCGGGTTACCTGGCCTCCTACCCCCTCACCTCCCCAAATGAGGTGTGGGACTGGTTCACCACAACCTTATCAAAACATGATGCAGCCCTGCCCTACTCCACTGGCTGGAAGTGTTTTGTTTTCCCTATTCATGCTCAGGGAGATGCGGCTCCCTTCTCTCAAACCCCATACTGCTGCCATCAAGAGCCAAGGGAATAGGAAAAGGGAAATGCCTGGGTGACTTTCAGAAACTCTGAGGAGGATTGACCTTCCCTGGTATCCTCACTGGGTGACGAGGTGGAAGGATGAGGGCCAGAGGCCCCTGGCTGACCCGAGGCCTCTTGGGGTTCCACCGGTCCTGGTGATGTCAGAGCACCTCTAGCTAGCGGGCCAGGCCGTTTCCAGAATGTTGGTGCCTAGGAGTGGGGCCCTGGGAATGGAGAGCAATGCCCTGGGCCATGTTAGAGCTTCATGGCTCGCCTCTTGCTCCCTCTGGTCTTCTCTGGAAAATGAGAAAAGGCCCCCAATGCATCTTGAAGTGCTTAGATTCCCTCCTGAGTAGTGGAAACCTGGTCCCTGTCACCGAGGTTGCTCCAGGCCTCATCAGCCCTGGGGAATCACAACAGCAGCTTGGAGAAGGGCTTCAAGGAGAGGCCCCCGCTCACCACTGGTGACCACATGAGTCAACCTGCAGCCACGGTCCTCAGCCAGAGCCTCCAAGATTTCCCTTGGCTTTCAAATGCAGGACAGGGATGCTGGCACACGGCCAGCCACCTTTGGGAGGGCTTCACAGGCAGAGATGGACCAGGAGGAACATCCTCTAGAACTAAAGGGAGCCCTGGACACAGGCCCTTTGCACTGGGGAGCCCCATTGCTCCCTGGGAGCAGGACAAAGTGTGAACAGGGGTCCTTCCAGCTCCTCCGCCCTCACCCTTCACTGCTCTCCAGATGGCAAAATGAAGTCCATCTTCAGGAGGCAGTGGCCTGTGAAGGGGGCAGCCGGAGGCGCCACGTGTCCCCACTGCAGTCAGTAAGGCAGGGCACAGTCCACACGGAATCCAAAACCAGTGGTAAACCCGATTGAAAGTCATTCTGCTCTTTAACTTCACTGCCCACCGACATCCTGAGCCTCAGTGCTAAGCTGGTCCAGCGGAAGTGTGCACCCCCTGCGGGCCTTCACCTCCCCGGGCTTGGGGGTGGGAGCTGGGCACCACACGGGGGGAGGGGAGGGATCTGGATGTCCCAGAGAGAAGGGAAGCTTACCTCCGGCTCCCGAAATCAGAGCCCACGTTGTGGGAGGGCTTGTCCCGAGGCCTAGATGCGGGGCCTGCAGTGCAGGCTCTATTGCCGTCCCCGGGGTCTGTCTGTCCTCACACACAGTGTCCAAAGGCCCACGGCCAGGCCAGGGGGCTGGAGACTCGGGACCAGGGGAGGAGGGAGAGTGGATGTGCGTCAGGGGCTGGCAGACTGCTCCTGGACAAGGCAGCAGTCGCTGAGAGGCGACCCGAGACGGGTTTCACAAGACCCCAAATTAGGTTCCTTTGTGAGTGTTTAAGCCTCAGGGGTCAGTGTGACCTCAGCGGACAGTCAATACCTCAGAACCCTAAAGCCCAGGCCCCAGGGCCCAGATCTCCCAGCCAACGTGCTCCCTCCGCCACCTGACTGCAAAGGCCCAACGCGGTCCTCAGTTCTGGGTCAGTGGTCCTCGCTTTGAAACGAAAGCAGCCCTGCCTGGAGAAGGAGGCCTGGTGCCTATGGTTTGGAGGTAGTCTGGTATGGAAGTTAAGAGGCGCTTCCCTCATCTGAGACTCTGTTTTCTCATCTGTAGAATGGGGATGACCTAACAGGGTAGTCGTGAGAGCAGAATGAACTCATGTCCACAAGAGACTTGCACAGGCCCACGGACACCATACGTGCTCCGAAGTCTGTCTGTAAGCTTCCCCATGCCGAGCGCAGTGCCTGTCACAGCGCAAATGCTCAATGAGCATCAGCTGGATGAATGGATCTGGTGAAATCTGCACAACTGATTTCATCCCTGGGGAGGGGCTGGCATTACCTAAGGCAGAGTTCAGTAAGCACGTAAAGGAAGTATATGGTGAAATAGAGGCCTTTGTTAGGTCTCAGGTAAGCAGAGGGGCTGGCCTGGGGTTACCTAGAGGCGTCCCTGTTGGCTTTTAACACATGCCTGCCCAAGGCGCTGGCCCTTCCTTGGGATGTTGGAACGGAGTCGCCTGCCTCCTGCCATTCTGGAATTTTCTCAGTGGCTCTGCTCATCTTATTTGTTTGTGTTTTTACATAGCCCTAAAGATGCGTTAGTCATGGGTAAAGTACAATCTGTATCTCAGACAGTGGCCAGTGCCCACCTTCACCCTGGTCCTCAGCCCGGAGATACTCAGCAAGACAAACATTGGCCTCCCGAAGGCCAGCCCCCTTCTCATGTGCTCCGAACCCTTCGATTTCTTCTGAAGAGAGTTTTGATTTCTGATGGGACTCCCACCCTAATAAAGATCATCGCTTTGATGATGGCTCATGTTTCTTCAGCACCTACATTGTGCCAGGCCCCGTCTAAGCACTTTTCACAAACTATCGCATTTTTTGTATTCATTTATTTTGAGAGAGAGAGAGAGTGTGAGCAAGCATGCGTGAGCAGGGGAGGAGCAGAGAGAGAGAGAGAGAGAGAGAATCCCAAGCAGGCTCTACGCCATCAGTACAGAGCCCAACATGGGGCTCGAACCCATGAACCATGAGATCATGACCTGAGCCAAAATCAGGATCAGACATTTAACCGACTGAACCACCCAGGCGCCCCTGAATTATCTCATTCTTTCATTCAACAAGCCTAGCATCATGGCCGCCCTTGACTTGTCTGTTTGCCAGCTGACCTCATTGACTTTTGCAACCCCTAAGCCCATAATAAGAACTTAAGAACATACTTCATGCCCTAGAAGTTATGCTTGCTTAGAACTGGTGAGCCAACAGCCCAATGCACTGAGGGTTCCTGGAGGTGTCATGCCTTGTCCCAAAGGAATGAATTGCTAGATGTATAGAGGGAAGGAAGGTAAGGTGTTTGGATTAGGGGTTGCATTTTCAGGACGCTTCCCCAACCTCCAGATCTCTCTGCCTGCCCTCATGTAAATTGGTCCGTGCTTTCCGTCCATAAGACTGGTCACTTATTCATTCATTCCAGAAGTAGCGTTGGAGAACCTAACACTTGTGAGGTGCTCGCTTCGTTACTGCTCACACAGCAAACCACACAAGTACAACTCTGCCCTTCGGAGCTTATGTTCTGGCAGAGGAGACAGGCATTAAACAAATTGTAAGTTAGCTTAGTTCTAACTGTCATAAATGCCAAGAAGGAAGCGTGTGGGGAGCAATGGAATGCGTCTGTGGGCCCTGACCCTGCAGGCGAGAGAGGAGTGTCGTTGGGTATGGAATCGGAAAGACGGACAAGGATCAGCAAGGCAGAAGGGCATCTGTGTGCAGTGGGCTTCAGTGTGAGAGGTGTGACTTACTATGGGACTCGGTCAGGAGAGTTAGGTAGCCACAGAAGCTGAGAGAAGGCCCACATGCCTGGCGGTCGGAGAACAGGATGAGAGAGTGAGCAGTGGAGCATGGGAAGCCGCTGATGTGTTCTGAGCAGGAAAGTGACAAGATTGGGTGGTCTTCAAAGACGACTCTGGCTTCTGACTAGACAATAGGGCGATGAAGTCCAGAGCGGGGCAGGGAGGGGGGGGGGGGCGGAGGTCTGGCAGGGGCAGGAGGTGATGGCGCCAGGGGACAAGGGGGTCTGCACGGAGCTGGAGGGAAGCGATGGATTGGAAGGAGACTTTGGAGATAAAATCCACGGAGGAAGATTTTGACGGGATGTGGGGGAAGAAAGAGAGGGTGGGGTCGAGGATGGCTCCGAGATTTCTGGCGTGTATAACAGAGCAGATTCGGAATCAGCAAACTACAGCTTGCAGGCCAAACCTATCCCTCTGCCTGCTTTTGTAATTACGGTTTTACTGGAACACAGCCATACCCAGCCATTTACACATCTGCCGTGGCTGCTCTTGAGCTACGCGGCAGAGCTGAGCGGTTACGACCCAGAGCATACGGCCCACAAAGCCTAAGATGCCACCTGGCCCTTTATAGAAAGGTTGCTGCCCCTGGAGTAGATGGTAGTGCCTTTTACTGAAATAGGGAGCGAGGGAGAGCTAGAGCACAGGCTTAGGTGGGGTCAGAAAAGATGCCAGGGTCAGATTTGGGCCTTTGCAAGGTGCCAGGCGGAACTGTCAAATAGGCAGTTGGCTACAGTGTCTCGGAAGGGGGGGGTCTGGTGGAGAGGAGAGTGGGGGTGGAGGCCAATGAGATTGGGAGCTGGAACCAGGTGAGCAGAGGGTGTGATGATGACAAAGGGCCCAGGAAGGAGTCTTGCAGAATTCTAATATTTTAAGGCCTCTTGCACCCTCGCTAGTGTCTGATTCTAAGGGCAGCCCCTACAGGTAGTCTCACGGAGGGCAGCAGGGAGTAGAAACAGGTGCTGCTGTGGTGCTCAGTGGGGGATGAGTGCCTCTCCTCCGGCCACACAGGCTTCTAAGGTTCCAGGATGCCTGTGAGCGGGGACCTAATACGCAAGACCATGCTGGGCACGATAAGGGCGCACAGTAGGCTCTCAGTGATGCTGTCGAATCCAACTGTGTCCCAGGCAGGACCCCCTGGCTTGGGGAAATTGAGACTGGTGGCAATATGGTGGGCAGCTCCCCTCTGTCTCCACCTGCTGACCATGCCTTTCTCTCTGTCCGCAGCTGCGCCTGAACGGGGGCCGGAACCCCTACGAGGGCCGGGTGGAGGTACTGGTGGAGAGGAACGGGTCCCTCGTATGGGGGACGGTGTGTGGTGAGAACTGGGGCATTGTGGAGGCCATGGTGGTCTGCCGGCAGCTGGGACTGGGCTTTGCCAGCAACGCCTTCCAGGTGAGAAGCCCCGGCCTCAGACCCTTCCATCCAATCCAGCCCTGCCCCTCTCAGTCAGCCCCTATTTTCCACGAACCTTCCCCAGCTACCCAGAAAGTAGAGAGCAAAGTGCCCTGGACTATGCGGGGGAAGGGGAGGTGGGTAGGAACCTCATCCTGGCCTCAGCTCTGCCCCTCACCGCCCTGAGTCCTTGGGCGAGTCATGCTCCCTTCTGGACTGTTTCCCCACTACAGAGTGAGGGGCTGGACTCTGGTTTCCAGGGTCCACTCAGCTCTGAGTGCTGGGAATCACCCTGGGCTGTGGACTGATTCTGGGGTGTCCTGATGTGCCTATGCAGCAGGAAACAACTCGGTCCTACGGGGCAGTGGCAACCACCCAGCCCAAGGCCCCAGATGCCTTAGCTCACTCCCTTGGAGGCCCCTCTGGCCAGACCATATGTCCCAAGTGGTGTCATACGTTCTCCCCGTGATTGGCAGGTAAACCTCCAAGCCTTGTCCTGCATCTGTGCCCTCTTCCCTACGGTCCCTTCCTTAAAGAGAGAGACTCAGATGAATGTAGCTAAGCCCCTGCCCCTATTGGACGGCAGCAGAGGAAAGGCAGGAAGCTCTTTGGCTTAAAAAATCATTGACTTCTGTTCCCTATAGTGTGAGGGAACGTTGTCAGAAGGAGGCCAGGAGGAGGAGGAGCCAGAGATAGGAGGCTCAAGGTCTATTCCCGACTGTACCCCCACCAGCCTGCTGTATAATGGTCTAGGACAAAGCAGCCACTCTTCTGTGCCTCAGTTTGTCTCCCTGTGACATGGAATGACTAGGCTCAGGTCCTCAGTATCCTGGCTCCAAACACTTTCTCACAGAAGAGGAAAATGGCTAGAGCCCCTGGCTTGCTTGGCCAACCCTGACTCCAGCTCCTGTGCCCAGGTGGCCCTGTCCCCCAGAACGGGATCACCTAGGGAGGGACTCGGGACAACTCTGCAGCCTTGCTGAGCCTGACTGCCTGCTTGCAGGCTGGCCGGGTCCAGGGCAGGAGCTGAGTCCTGAGCAGAGACTGCCCTGTGGCTCCTCTCCCAGCATTCAGAAGGGACAGGCCTCTGATGCCACTGCCCACGCCCTCTGGGGCCCTGGCTTCCCATAGTGCCTCTGCTAATACTGCTTTGACCAGCCAAGGCACTCTCTGGGGCCCCAAAGGGAGCGGAAGAACAGTGTTCTCCAGCTACTTTTGTTCCTGGTCAGCTCGTTCTTTTTTTTTTTTTTTTAACGTTTATTTATTTTTGAGACAGAGAGAGACAGAGAATGAACAGGGGAGGGTCAGAGAGAGAGGGAGACACAGAATCCGAAACAGGCTCCAGGCTCCGAGCTGTCAGCCCAGAGCCCGACGTGGGGCTCGAACTCACGGACTGCGAGATCATGACCTGAGCCAAAGTCAGCCACTCAACCGACTGAGCCACCCAGGCACCCCTGGTCAGCTCATTCTTAAGACACCTGTGTGTCTGCAGGGTCATGCAGTGGGCCAGGATCTGCCACCAATTAACACCCTGTCCCCTAGCTAGGCCCTGGTGTTCTCTCTAGAGGATGAGGGGCGTTCTCTGGGTAAACAGAACCAATTGGATGTATGAATATTGAACTATCATGTGTGAATAGATCGCTTCTCTCCTGCCAATTCTGACCAACTGGCAGTGTCTCCCGGGAGCACTGTGTTGAGGTTCCTGAGAGCACACTGGGTTTAGAGGAGAGAGTGATGTGATTGACTAGTCATGTCTGCCCCGGGCGTGGGGCTGGGGAGCGAGCAGGGAGTTGCAGGTGCCTGCCATTCCTGACGTACAGTATTCAACTGCTGTTTGACCAGAGTCTTAGCTATGCCTTCCTCTTGGGGAGCAGTGGCAGAACCAGAGTGCGAGGGTGTCCCTCACTCTGCCACCAACAAAGTGCGTGACCTGGGTGAGTGACTGTTTGTGCCTCTGCTGTCTCCATCTGAAAAAATGGGGCTCATTTAGCTTTAGCTTGGGGATTTTTGTGAGGCCGAAAGTTGACAGAATATGAGACAGTGACAATCCAAGGTGACCCACATCTCGTTTCTTTTGTTTCATCCAGGAGACCTGGTATTGGCACGGAAATATCTTCGCCAACAAAGTGGTCATGAGTGGAGTGAAGTGCTCGGGAACGGAGCTGTCCCTGGCACACTGCCGTCAAGATGAGGATGTGACCTGCCCCCAGGGTGCAGTGCAGTACGGGGCTGGAGTCGCCTGCTCAGAAAGTGAGAGTCCCTGGGGGTCCTACCCCACCCTCCCCGCCAGGCTCCAAAGAGTCCCGCTGGTTATTCCTTGCATGGTTCTGGGGCCTCTGCCCTGAGCGGTGCCAAAGAGGAAAGCAGAGATTAATTTTAAGTGAAAAGAGTCGGGGTGGGGGCAGGGGGGAGGAACTACCCCCTACCCACAGCCCCACAACTTGCCTGCTGACAGTGGAAAGACAAGCAGGAGGGAGGGACTTGGAGAGTCTGGGAGTCTTGGGTTCAAATGGCAGGGCCAGTGTAGATGAAGTGACTGAGAACTACGCGTTCTTACCAGTTGACGAGGAAGAGCGCACCTTCCTTGGAGGATGTCTCTGAGGGCAGTAAAGCAGACGAAGCATATAGGGGGTGCTCTGTGCCTGTTGGCTTCCTTCCTTTCACCTTGCTCCAAAGGGCATCTCCCATTTCACACCGTGGAGGCAACTTCCCGGTGACTCCCTGGGAATCCCAGAGAGCCTAAATACACAGAAGGAGAAACCCCGCCCACACTCAGAATGGCCCAGCTCATGAAGGCTCCCTTCTGTGCTGAGAGAGAGAGAGAGGCCTAGCCGTGCAGCTTTGCGGGCACACTGCTGTCCTGATGCCCAGACTCTGCCCTCCCCACCCCGGCCTTATAAAACCACACTTAGCCTTCTCCCTCGAGAACCTGGCAGGTGGCAGAGGCCCAGGATCTGGCCAGAGAACTTGAGATCAGACCCCACCCACCATTTATTAGGTGACTTTGGCAAAGTTAGTTAACCACTATGATTTACAGTTGTTTTTTTCTGAGACACTGGAAATTAAATGTGACAATGAATACGTACACGTGCACAATAAACAATGATGCACGTCTTTTACCATCATGGAGAACCTGGGGAAGAGTAAACCTGAATTCAGTGAGCTTCGTCCGCCCATCGACCCCGTTAGACTCACTGACCCAAGCCTTGTAAGGTGGGACTGTCCACCCGGCATGAGCTTCTCTGGGCAGATAGCACAAGTTATCGCGTCCTGTCTGAGGAGATCATCACCCTCGCCAGCCGCCCCCACCCCCGCCCCAGGAAGAACATCCTAGCAGAGAGAAAGCAGTCAGGGGCCTTTCCTTTGCTTCTTAATTTATTTTATGTTGTAATATACCATTATTGCCAAAAGGAAATTAAGATAATATGAACCTCAGTAAAAGGTAGCATAAGATAAAAGCAGATACAAAAGGAGTGCCTGGGTGGCTCAGTTGGTTAAGCGTCCAACTCTTGATTTCATGATCTCAGGGTCATGAGATCGAGCCCCGCGTCAGGCTCCATGCTGACAGCACAGAGTCTGCTTGTGATTCTCTCTCTCCCTCTCTCTCTGCTTTTTCCACCATCCCCTTCTAAAAATAAATACAAACATTTTAAAAAAACAGCAAGAAAGTAGGGGTTGGCAAAAAGGTAGTGGCTCAAAATGGAACCAAGAGAGAGGTTAATAAAAAATTATAGTGTGGAGTCCTATACATTTACTCTTGGGAGGTCATAAAATTCACCATGAGCTTCCTAACAGCCAAAAAAGGAAGGAAACCTGGTCATTAATACCAGTATCCATGAAATAGAAACAAACCCATGAGATAGGAGCAACTCACTGTTCTAGTTTCCAAGATGGAAGGGAATTTCTCATGAAAATGGACAGTTATGAGATCAACGGTACTCTTGACATCCTCATGGCAGATGATAAGTTTCATGGGGTCCTGAGAACCCCTCAAATTAGGCTAAAGGCATCACTCAGAGTGACTACAGGGAGGCAGTGCCATTTGGGCCGGGAACACAGCTCTTGGCTGATCTGGCTTAATGAATGTTATTCAGAGAGAGAAAGTATATTCTCCAGGCAACCCTTTGTAATTATTTTTTCTCATCCAACCTGTTACACCTGTATCTGCAAGCCTTCTCCTCCTCACCCACCCCCCACATACAATCCATTTCATTTTTACCTCTCCATGTTCTCTCGACTCCCTCTACCTCCTTCCACCCGACTGTCTCAGCCTGTGTCCAGATGACATTCTTCCATACCGCAGAGGCCCCTCAGTGCGATCCCCGCAGCGACATGTGCCCCTCCGACCGCTCCCCCTCCCAGAAGCCGGAATCAATATTGGCCTCCCACTCATGCCTCTGTCCTGTCCAGACCCGTCTGAGCTTTCCCACAGCACTTAGGTGAGTGCAGGGACTTGCACAAGGCAGGTGTTGCCCGGCTTCCTTGTGGGCCACCCTCCATTCCCCCACCCCTACTCAGTGTCCCAACTGCCCAGGCTTTGGTCCTCCTTCATGCCCCAGGGGACTGGCACATGCAACTTGACATTGTAGAGATACTTTCTATAGTCCCCACTCATCCTCCAGGGAGCAACGAAAACATAACTGCCTCCGAGGAAATTCTTCCTGACCTCCTTCCCCAGACTGGGCCCCCTGTCATAATTCCCAACACACCCATGTTTCTCCTTCTATCTCTGGACACAACTGTAATTAAGTAATTAGTATGTGCTTCTGTCTTTCCTGCCACAGTGTAAGGTCTGCCCTGTTCAGCACTGTCCAGAGACAGTGCAGTGTTCGCTATAGTACTTGGTGGATGGGCAGATGAATTCATGCTTCAGATGAGTTTCCGGTGGACATTTCGGATGTTAGGGAGGTGAAGGCCCCCTTCTATGGCAGGTGCTAAGAGCGCGGTTCCCAGGCTGCCAGCAAACTGCAGATCATGTTAAGACATCTGAGCTGGGGTTAGGGCTGGCCTCCTCCCAGAAAGAGGAGAGAGCAATGGAGACCCATTTGCTCAGCTCAGAGGTAAGCAAAGGAAGGGGCCGTGGGTTGAGTACCGAGTAGGGTCCAGACAGTGAATAAGAGACTCATAACACCCTCTAATAAAAGCATGCCCAGAACACCCGGTACCGGGCATCCTGGTGTGTGCCCTCCAAGAGGAACTATTTCTCAGCGAATGAGGGCCTCCCGATGTATGTCTTCCACTCCCCAAACCACATCCCATCGGTGCTCCCCCTTCATACCCTTCAGTTCCACATCCAAGCCCTGCAGATGGATTTGTTCTCCAGAGGGTGCTGCCCCGTGCCGGAAATTGTGTCCTGAGAAGCTGCCGTGTTCCACGTGCAGCCGGGAGGCCGTGGGGAATGCTCCAGACTCTGGCAGACTTGAGGGAAGCAAAGCTCACAGGTGCACACCCACTTTAGACATTTACAAGCAACTTGATGGAAAACATAGGATGGGTCTGGTTGTACATCAGATACAATAATTTTGTGACTTGAAATGTACTAGAAATAGTCAATGGAATCCGACTTTTAAAGGGAAACTTACAGTTAACCCTTTTGTAAAGAAGCTAAACCTTCTAATAGAATTGCTTAGTGAGCAAACATGGACTGTATCCATTGGTAATTTTTTTTTAACACCTGCTGTGTGCTGTGTGCTGAGTAAATCGAGCTTTGTTTTACAAGAAATACCTGGGGGCACCTGGGTGACTCAGTCAGTTAAGCTTCCACCTCGGCTCAGGTCATGATCTTGCAGTTCGTGAATTCAATTCCTGCATCGGGCTCTGTGCTGACAGCTCAGAGCCTGGAGCCTGCTTCAGATTCTGTGTCTCCCTCTCTCTCTGCCCTTCCCCTGCTTGCACTTGCTTGCTCGCTTGCTCTCTCAAAAATAAACATTAAAAAAATTTTTTTATATGAATTTAAAAAAAATAAAAGAAGTACCTGGGGGAAACCCTCATGTAGAGCAACAGTGTGAGTGGAAATTGAAAGAAGCCATTAAGAAGGTGATTTGGCAGGGGCACCTAGGTGGCTTGGTCAGTTAAGCATCTGACTTTGGCTTAGGCCATGATTTTGCAATTCGTGGGTTCAAGCCCCACGTCGGGCTCTGTGCTGACAGCTCAGAATGTAGAGCCTGCCTCAGATTCTCCCTGGATTGTGCTCTTTCTAAAAAGTAAATAAACATTTTTTTTTTAAAAAGATAATTTGGCAATATGCATCAGAGCCTTGAAAACATATAGCCCGGGGCGCCTGGGTGGCGCAGTCGGTTGAGCATCCGACTTCAGCCAGGTCACGATCTCGCGGTCCGTGAGTTCGAGCCCCGCATCAGGCTCTGGGCTGATGGCTCAGAGCCTGGAGCCTGTTTCCGATTCTGTGTCTCCCTCTCTCTCTGCCCCTCCCCCGTTCATGCTCTGTCTCTCTCTGTCCCAAAAATAAATAAATGTTGAAAAAAAAAAAATTAAAAAAAAAAAAAAAAGAAAACATATAGCCCTTCCTCCCAGCAGTTTCAATTATAGAAATATATTCTAAAGAAAAAACTGAAGTTAAATACAGATTTACTACAGGATGTTTAACTGTGCAAAAATGTCAAGGAACCAATGCATCTAAAAATATGAGTTAATAGGGCTATGAATTAAATATTATATAGCCATGAAATGCATGTTGTAATGGATATTTATTAACAAGGAAATACCTCAAGATATATTTTAAGGGAAACAGTATGAGCAGACTGTAAGTCTACATACAATGTCACACATGTTGTAGACTGTATTTATCGACCCCAGAAGAATCAGACCAAGGTATGGATGGTGCTCTCCCTCAGGGAGGCACATGATCATTGCTGTTGTTTGTTGTTTATTATGGAAAATCTCCGGCCACCCAAAAGTAAAGAGAACAATATAATGAACCCTCATGTACCATCACCGAGACTGAACAGTTGCCAGCATTTTGCCCACCATTTTGCACCAATAACCAGAGGCGTCCAAGAGGACTCTCAGAGAAGGGGAAGAGGAATTGGGGGTGGCGTTCCTCAAGGAAAGTGACCTTGCGAGGCCATGAGCCAGTCCCAGATGGTGCTGGGGGCGGGGAGGGGTGTCTTGTCTTGTTTGAACATTGTGTCTGCCCTCCCTAGCTGCCCCTGACCTGGTCCTCAATGCGGAGATTGTCCAGCAGAGCACCTACCTGGAGGACCGTCCCATGTTCATGCTCCAATGCGCCATGGAGGAGAACTGCCTGTCAGCCTCGGCTGCCCAGACCGACCCCACCACAGGCTACCGCCGGCTTCTGCGCTTCTCCTCCCAGATCCACAACAATGGGCAGTCTGACTTCCGACCCAAGAATGGCCGCCATGCGTGGATCTGGCATGACTGCCACAGGTGAGCCCTCCTTGTTCATCGTTAGCATGTTACCCTGGCCCCCCACGCTGCACTGGATGGGATTCAGAGTCACAGGGAGCCCTGGAGAGAGCTGACAGGCCACGCATCCAGGAGGCAGAGTCTTCCTACACTGGAGGGGTCATTACAATGGCCTTCTACATTTATTCAGCAATTCTCCACTCTCAGCTTCCCCGGCCCACCTCCCCTTCCCTAAGCCCAGTCTCTTTCTTGCCTCCAATGCCTCTACTGTTAGGAAACAAACTTTTTTTTTTGAGGACCCGATGCCTCTCCATTGACCCTTTCAAATGCATCTACGGCAAGTTCACGATCTGTGGGGTGCTTGGGGGCTCTGCAGTTTTTAGACTGAGTTCATTCATCAATGTATTTTAAACATCTCGAGAAAGACGGTGGGTGTGGAGACAAGAGTTCTAGGCCCAGTAGTCGTGAGACCTGGTCTCTCAACCCAGCTGTGTCTGTAACCAGCTGCGCGATGTCAGGCCATCTGGGCTACATCACTGGGGACCTCCAGTGTCCCTGCCAGCCCTCAGTCTGACTTGGTCCCAGTGTTGTAAGTCCTGCACAAGAACAGAGTGAAATCCTAGAGCCAACAGAAGCCACCCCATTCATCTCCTTGCCTTTTCTCTTTTTTTTTTCACTTTGCCTTGATTCTTACTCTAATCCAGGACCCACTGCCCCAGCTTGTTTGCATTTTCCTGCTGAGGCCTGAGTTGGGCAGGTAGAGGGAACAGAAGTGAGCACACTTTTGAAAATGAAGGGGCGGAGGCCCCTGCTGTGCACAGGGCAGCAGTGCCCCTCAGGGGTCCACGGCGAGCACCCTCCTGTGCATCAGTGCTCTCTCGGCAGCACAGCTCTCGTCCTCGGTCCCTGCGTCTCACGGTGAGGCCCGTGGGCTTGGGCAGAGCCTGACCACCGCAGACCTTCCCATCAGAATCTGCATTTTGTCAGCGTCACCCGCTGATGTGCGCGTCTCACATCAGAGCCTGAGAAGCCCCAGCCCAGCTGATCAATCGCTAGGCGTCCTTCTAGCTCGAAAAGGAAGCAGGCACTGTGAGGGGCACAAGAACTGACGTTTATTGACCCCCTTCTAACTGCCAGGCACATGGAACCCTCATTTTCAAGGGTAAGGAGACAGAGGCTCAGTGTCTACATGACTTGCCCAGGGTAACACAAGAAGTCGCCTGGCAGGGACCCTCCACTCCCGGCTGTCTGACCCCAGGGAGTGGGCAAATCTTTCCGTTACCTCTGCTGAATCTTCATCAGAAAGCTATCCTTTTCCTGCTTTTTCCTGTCACAACTGATGGTCCGGTCACATTCCAATAAGTCTTGGGATAGAGCTGTTCCATCTGTTTCAAAAGAAAAGACTATGATAGAACTTAGGGTGTTGATTTTCCTTTATAATTATTATAAATTGTGTTTTGAATGTCCCGACTAGCCAAAGAATTTTTGGTCTTTATATAGAAACATGCCAGCCTTCTGCAGGGTGGAAGTCAAAGAGTAAAATTAAAGTCATGACCATATTGGTGCCTGATTTCCTTTGGAGACCACGTGGTGGGAGCCCTGGGTCTGCGGGGGCTGATGTTGCTTATTATAAGTGGAACATAATTGCATCTCTGTCCCACACATGGCGGTCCACCCAGACATTACATGGCAGAAGTCTCCGTGGGACATATGCTTGCTCTCCGAGCAATGGTCTGTCCTCTAAGAATACACATGGCGACACCATGGAAGTGTTTCTTCTGATCTGGAGCCCCAGGCATTCCGATCTCTATGCCACCCCACCCCCTGATTTCCCTGTAGTCTATTTCATTTCTTTGCTTACAGATGTTCCCATCAACGATTTGGGAGGGATGGGTAGAAAAAACATGCTGGCCAAGCATATGTCCCTCCAAGCCACCCCTTCCTGGTCCGTAACTGAGAGCCTATGACCATAAGATCTCAGAGAACATAAGAGGACACCCCTGCACCCTGGCCTCCAGAGCTCCAGGGGGCTTCTCCAGTCTCTGTAGGAGGACCTGTCAATAGGACTCCTGGCCCCATACCTCTGTTGGGTCCCTTTGAGAGTCTGATGACAGCAGGCCCTCCCTCCACTCAAAACAAATTATTTCTGGAAGACTTAATACCCTATCTCAGCAGATTTACAGACCTCGGAGCCAAAGTTGAGAACCCTGGCTCAAATTAGTATGAATGGGGAAAACTATCACTCCCAATTTAATTGATGGTACAATGAGGAACAGAACTGTGTTCCTTGAAAGCCTTAAAATGAAACGTGAAGACTGACCCCCTTAGCACTTGCCTTGCCAATCAGACATAGGAAAAAATGCCCTGAGTTGTTCTCTCTCCTATGCATCATGCCCTTGGTTGATGATCCTGCCCTCCTGCCACTTGCGCCCCAGGGGGTGGAGCCACACCTCTTTAACTGACACATCACATCACAGGTTCCACGGGGTCCGGACGAAGGTGAGCACAGAGCAGCTCTCCTCTGAGGCCTTCACAGCTCAGGAAGCCCCTGGAGAGGCGCCAGGAGCTGGCCGGTGGGGAGGTGGATGTCCAGCATGGGTGCCAGCCCAGCGAGTCAGGGACAGCCCGGCTACAAGGAGAGACTTTCATTCGCTCTGCCCTGCTTCTGCCGCATGCAGAGCAGGCCCCCATGTTGGATCAAAGCCCCACAGGTGCGATGTGGCCCCTGTGAGCCCATGTTAGGCCCTCGTCGCATCCGTAGGGCTTTGGCCTGGCCAGAGGGCTCCTCCTCACACATGGGGAAGCAGGGTGGAAGGGTGGGGGGCCCCCGCCCTTCATGATAGCACCTCCCGAGACTGGATCACACCCCCAGTTTTCTCTGCAGTGGGGCCAGAGCACTGTCCCAGCCGCAGCTGAGCACCAGCCAGGACTGTCCATTCTATGACATGTGGCTGGTATGGGACAGGATGAAGAGTGACAGCATCTCCTCTACAGTGCGCATGGACTCTCTGATGCAGAGTTTTATTTGGGCCCCCAACAACCTAGGATGACAAGGGATATACCCAAACCCGCCATCTTCCTCTGGACCAGCCTTGTGGGTCGTCCACATACTCATCAGTTCCTTCTTCCCCTGGTACCATGTCTTAGGATACCGAGCTCTGGAGTCTTGTGCTAGAAGGCCATCCTTCCTTTTATCCAGATTACAATGACTTCCACCAAGTGTCAGGTTATGCTCTCTCTTCTTAGGTTCTGGAATTTCTTTCCACGTTAGAGTTTCCCTAGGTCTACCCCATGGATCAGGCGTCCTCTTAAGGCTTGGAAAAGTCAGGACACCTCAGCCTGGAAAGAGGAGGTATACCCTCATCACTAGGACATGTCCGTCCGTCTTCCTGGTAGCCCCATCTAGATCTCCTGGGGTGCGTAGTTGGGGGGTAACCCTGGCCTCCACAGCCAGCCGGCAGGGAGGAGGACGTGGCCCCGGGGTCATGTCCACACCTGTCCCGGAGATAAAGCACCGGAGCTCCAGGACTGCAGCTAGCTGGGATCAAGAGGCTCCGAACCAGCTGTTCCCTCCTAGTGTTCGCAGGGGAAAAACTGAAGAACTCGGGAAGACTTAAATCAAGCGTGCAGGAAGCAGGGGGAGCGGGAGAAGGTCAGCCTTACAACAGTCCATCTGTGGCCTCCGTCTGAATTTTGTTTAGACAACGGAACATAAACCTATTTCTCTTCAGTCTTTCCAGCCGGTAAACATGGCAACATAAACCCCTCTCTGAAAGATGCAGACATGTTTTAGGCAATGAGTCAGACCTCATGTCTCATCCTGCTCCTGCAAGCAGCCAAAATAGACTCGTTCAAAGTCATCACTTCCACTTGCCACAAAATGCGTCCTTGTGAATGTTCTCGGGGGGCCCCTGGCCCAGCATCGCTTTACCCAGAAACATCAGCGACCTGGGAAAAGCCCAGCTTAGGAACTCCTGACATTTTTAGCACAAGCAAACACAGGAGGAAGGGGGAAAGAGCCTTTAATTTCCTCTCAGAAAACCGATCCTTTTCATTCCTCTCTTGCCTCTGTCCTGACTGCAGTACTCCAGCGGAGGGAGCCTGAGGCCGGCCCCGTGAGACCTGGGGGGTGAGGAAGCCTGGGAATGGTAGTGGGAATAGTGGTGGTGGTGACGAAACTACTACTCCTGGCCCTACTGCGGGCCGGAGTAACAAGAGAGAGCCGACAAGTGCTGAGTGCCGCTCTGTTACAAGCCCCGCGTGAGGTTTTTCTGCAGTTTCTCAGATTCAGTCCTTCCAGGAGTCCTGAGAGTGGGTCCTGTTATCATTCCCACTTTCCTGAGGAAGAGGCTCAGGTCGTGCCTAAACACAACCAGGCATTCTGCTCCCCGTGCCTTGGGTGCCTTGAACTTCTGTCTCCCCATTTGACCCGTGTCCCTGCAATGGCAGCGACGAATGTGTTCAAGTAGTTGCAGACGCCTGTGATGCTCGCATGGCGGCTTAGGATGGGCCTGGCCAGCAGAGCGCCTCAGGGAGGCCCCCGCCCGCAAGGGGCAGCCATGTTCCCCTTGTTTGGTCTGACCCAAATGCACCACCTTCCAAGAATCTGCATCTGTTCTCAATCCCTCCCAGGCCAAGAGATGGGACACTGTTATGTAAACGGTGCGCGGGGCTAGAGCAGCTGGGTCACACAAGCTCTCCGGCCTCTCTTCTGGGGCCCACGAGGACGCGGCTGCCATGCTCTGCTCCTTCCCAAGGGCCTGAGAAGCCCTCTCTCCCCCTTTTTGTGCCAGGAGCACAGAGTCCTGTCGCTCACTCCCTAGCTGGTGTCAGGGAGGCTGAGGCCTCGCTGCGTCCTAGTCCCACTTCCTGCCTGACACTGGGCTGTGTGAGGGGCTGGTCCAGATGCCCCGCTGCTCTTCCTGCCTCTCCCCCTTCCTCCACGTGCCCTCCCCTTTCTGTTCTTTCCCTCCCCACCGAATTCCCACTTAAAAAAGTTTTCAGGGGCACCTGGGTGGCTCAGTCGGTTAAGCGTCCGACTTCGGTTCAGGTCATGATCCCGCGGTTCGTGGGTTCGAGCCCTGCGTCAGGCTCTGTGCTGACAGCTCAGAGCCTGGAGCCTGCTTTGGGTTCTGTGTCTCCCTCTCTCTGCTCCTCCCGTGCTCAC